GGGCTCCGGCCCCGCGCGCGCGGCTGGGGGGGAGCCCGCCCCCTGGCGCCCGGCAACCTGAAAAGGTTGGGGACCACTGCTGTAGGTACTATCCCTTGAGACTACTACATGAAGCAGAACTTGGACAAATAGTTTTTTTGGGAGTAGAAGAGGAAAGAAGGGTATTTTGCTAAATATAGTATAGGGCTGTGGGGTGCCCCAGATGGCAGATGGGTGGGCTCAGTGGCTTGAGGTGACATGCTCTTGGGGCTATCACCTGGTGCACTCACATCCTCCCACACAAATGTTCATTCCCTTGAGACTACTACATGAAGCAGAACTTGGACAAATAGTTTTTTTGGGAGTAGAAGAGGAAAGAAGGGTATTTTGCTAAATATAGTATAGGGCTGTGGGGTGCCCCAGATGGCAGATGGGTGGGCTCAGTGGCTTGAGGTGACATGCTCTTGGGGCTATCACCTGGTGCACTCACATCCTCCCACACAAATGTTCATCCTTTGGAGTTATCTGAACACCTGATTTCAGAAACTACCATTGTGAAAGGCCTCTCTGGATGATGTATTAAACTGTTCAAGCTCTTTTCCCCTGACATCACCACTGAGTCATGGGAAACAGCAATGAATCATAGAATACTAGACCTGGAAGGGATCTCGAGATCATGAAGTCCAGAGATTTGTCCTCACAGTAGGACCAAGCACCTTCTAGATCAGTGGTGGCCAACTCGCGGCTTGTGAGCTGCATGTGGCTCTTCTCCCCCAAAAGTGCAGCTCGCAAAGCCTCTCCTGCACCCCCCACCCCAACGGCTGGCTCTAAGGATAATTATAATTTGGGAGGAGTCTGGGAGGCTGTTCTAGCTGTACATTTGTTTTTACCTTTTCACTTTGAAAAAAAAACTTTAGAAAGTATGTTCATAAATAACCATATTAAAAGGAGTATTGTATTGAGTGCTTGACAATTCTGTGCAGCTCTTCGCGTTATTTTCTCCCGCCACTGTTTCAGCTCTCTTTGTTAAATGGGTTGGCCACCCCTGATCTAGATCATCTCTTACAGATGTCAACCCAATCTGCTCTTAAAATGAATAAATAACACTTATTCACACCCAAAAGCTCTCCCAAAGATAGCTTTGCTTACTTCAACAGCTGCACTGTTTGCAGCTGCTCCAATGTACTACTGCACTGACTGATTACATGGCTCAAGATGGCATAAGTTATATGAAAAATGAGCAGTACAGGGACTGAAATCTTGGGGGCACAAATGGATCTTATTTCCGTCTGGTCTGGAACACGCCTCTGGCTTAATTCACTGGATTTGCTTCTCCCTCTTTATCAAATTTAACGTTTGGCCTCCCTCAAAGCTCTTGACAACACCTTGTTCCTTCCCACCCTATTTTAGACCCTATAATGCCAATATTCAAGTCCTACATGCCACTAAAACTCCATTTCCCTTTGTACTGTTTATTTAATAATAATATTTCTGGTACT